AGGCTGGGAAGATGGGCAGGGAGGAGGGAGAGGAGCCATGCCTATCGGCCCCTATAAGGCCAACTTGGAGCTGAGGGGTAGCACTCCGCCCCTGCGCTGAGTGAACTGTGAGCTGGTCCTGGGACCCCACACCAGCCCAGTCAGGGCTCTTTTGTGTCTCTGCTTCCTGCTTTGATTTCTACGCCTAGAGAAGAATCCCATCTTGTCAGACTGTCCATCTTCTGCCCATTCCTGCTCTACCCGGTCTCCCTGGAACAGGGACAGAGGCCCTGGATGACAATAAGATCTGCCCTAGGAGTAACCTCTTTCCTGGCTGCTGTCCCTTCTCAGCATTCCTCTTCCACTGCCCAGGGACATGGAGCTAATAAATCTGGGGACACGAGCGCCCTATTGTGGGAGGCTGGGCTGGCTCATCGCACATCCCAGGTACCACCTCTGTCAGCTGTCTCCCAAATGCCTGCCACGGGCCACCAGGAAGGAAGAGGTAAGAGAATGAGGATGCTTTGATACAGGACTTCTCCATTGTCAGAACAGCAGCCCAATGGTTATATTTGGGGTGGGTGACAAAAAGAGAAAGAGCTGAGCTCTGTCCATGTCCAAAGAATACAAGTCCACCTCCCTACAGAGCACATCCCCCCTCACTAGATTTCAGCCACAGGACCTTTGCACATGCCATTCCCTCTTTGTCCAATGTGCTTTCCTCCCCTCACTCACCTATTAATGCCTACTCAGTTGCCACTTCCTTAGGGAAGCTTTCTCTGACGTCAGTCAAGGTCAGGTGTCTTGTGATAGGTTTCATAGATCCCCCGATCTCTCCCTCGTAGCAAATAATAATTAAAGATTCATTTCTTAATATGAACATCAGGCTTTCCCAGGAGACTGGAAACTTCATGAGGGCAAGATTCACATCATTACTGTCCTCAGGGCCACGTGCCTGGCACATAGTAGGTATTCGTAAAACATATGTTGAATGAACGAAGGGTTGGATTGCTTTCCTACTGTCCAGGAAACCCTGCTAGGTGCCAGGTACCAATTGGTCAGGCTGCAGGGCTGCCCCGAGCCCAGCAGAATCCCAGGAAGACACCCCACAGCCTTCCCACCTGACTCTTGCTGTCACGTCAGGAGGTGGGGTTGGAAGGTGAGAATCAGAGTGGCTTGGGGATACGAGAGGGGAACAAGCAGCGCCATCTAGAGGATGGGGAGCCACCAACATGATACAGGAACCTTTATACATGTTGATGAACACAAACGTGTGTTATATACACATGCCCCTGGGCACACGTAGCTGCTACGCATGTGCGTGTACGGATACAAGACCATGCCTGTGTGGACACCTCCCCCCGCCGCAAGCATACCTCACGTGCCCCCCCCGAACATGCGTGGGTACGTGTGCCCCTGCACCCTCCCCCTGCATGGTCGTCCTTTAGAGGACCGGTCCCGGCTGGCATGGACATCTGTCCTGCATCCTCCCTCCTGCCAGGAAGCCTCTTCTAATCCGGGCTGCCTTGGGGTTCCCGTCTCCCTGGGCAAAGCGCTCTGGTCTCCCCGACTTGGTCTTCCCGTCAGTAAGAGTAGCTCACGCAGCTCTGACCCTTGAGCAGCTCGGGACCTACACAGCCCAAAATTCACCTGATGGTGCCAGAGGTTCTGGAAGGGCTCAAGGGTCACCCAGAGACAGAATGCCTGGAGCAACCCTGTGGCCTGCCCACCTGGGTCCTGCAGAGGGCACTTCCTGGCTCCTCTCCTCACCCTCAGCTCTGAACATTACTGAAAGGACAGGCTCAGTGGCACAACTCAGAACCTTCTGGATGGGCAGCCCACTGGTTAAGGGCCTATGGCTTGGGGCCAGACAGTCTTTTTGGGGACTGCAGCTCAATCACTTACTAGCCTGGGGGGCCCGGGCAAGTTATAATCACTTAACCTAAGCGTCCATTTCCTCACCTGTAAAATGAGAGTGGCAGCGCATTCTTGGGTTAGAGACAGCGCATGTAAAGTGCCCGTTTCCAGCTAGGACTCAACAGTGACGGCCACCGAAATGATTATTGCAGTAGCAACACTAACAGGGGTAGCCGCCCTCAGAGGTCAGCTCCGCCATCCCCCTTCCTCTGGGCATGACGGCCCCAGGCTCTAGGTCTGGAAGGGACCAAGGACACATCTTAGTCTATCTTGTTCATTTCACAGATAAGGTACAAGAAGAGAAGCAGCCCTAGGCATCCAAGGAGTCAGTGCTCACGGCCAAGCCTTTGCACTCTGGGTGCCCACGCTTTCCCCTCCGCCAGTGGAAACTCATTGTGCTATAACTGGGGGCTAGAAGGGTCTCAAAATCTAGGCTGGGGGAGGTCCAGGGAGCGGAGAGGTACAAGGGTCCAGCCCTTCCAGCCTGGCCAGAGACGAGGCTGGAGGGGACAGACCCTCTCCTTCCGGTTGCCCCTCCCCACTGTCAACCTGCTGCCTCCCCCGCCCCCCACCCCAGGGCAGGTGATAAGCCACGGAAGCAGGGGCCAGTGCTGTGTGGGAGGCCCCTCACAGCAGGCTCTGCCCCAGCCCTCCTCAGTGCAAATTAAAACATTTCCCTTTTCTTGCGTAATTTTTTTCTGACACAACTGCCCATGAAACATTTTAATAACATCCCAGAAAAGGTCATGGAGAAGGAATTTCACAGTCCCTGAGCAGACAGCTATAACTTCAGCTCCTTCTGCAGCAAAGGAGGGGGAAAGATCAGACTGACCCCAGAAAATGGCAGCGTGGGGGAGGCCAGGTCAGGCCTGGGCAGGGGGGTGGGTGAGGCCATGAAACCTGCCACCTGCTAGGAGCTGTGGAAGCTCCCTGGGAGATGATGGTGGGTCGGTCGGGTTGGGGCCGCGCAGGGGATTCTTTCACACCTAACATTCACACCTCTTGACGGCGGTCTTGGGCGGCCTCATGCCCATTCTGCAGATGGGGAAATGAAGGCTCTCAGAGGTGACGTCGCTAGACTAACGCACACCAAAGGCAAGGAAAGCAGGGCCCACCCAGTTTCGTGTGCTCTCCGGAGCTCCTGCAGGCACACGGCCCTGGGACCATAGCTTATCATTGGGTGAAAGAGCCCCTTCCTATCTGCACGACTCCACAACCCTGGGGTCAGGGGTGTTGAAAAGGAGGTGGGCAAGGCTTAGACTCAGGCACTGGAGGCTGCCCAGACCAGCCAGGCCTAGGAAGAGACACTCAGAGGAAGCTGAACACATCCGTGGAGCGTTTGGAAAGCAACTGGAGAAGGCGTTTGTGGGAGCCGGGCCGGGGTCTACGCAGGCCCAGGAACTGCTCTGGTGCTTGAGAAAACCCAGTGTGAGGACCTACTCTCTGGTGGCAGCCCCAGAGGAGAGCGGGCCTAACACACTGTCCTTGACCCCAGCAACTGGCCACCAGCCAAGAGGTGTGCCTCCCCACCCCTGCTCCCTAGGTTCGGCAACCCTTCTCCAGGGCTGTGGGAACCTGTGAGTGCAAAGTGAGACCTCCATCCCCAGGGACACCCCCCAAGCCGGACGCCTGAAATCTTTGCCATGTGGCCCCGGGCCCGTTGGGGTGGGGTCCCTAAAGCGCAGGCTGCTTGGGTGTCCTTCAGCCCGATATCTGAAGATGGCTGGGGGCGGGGAGCTGACGACCTCAGCCTCCGGCACTTGCTCTCTGGCTGCCAAGAGGATCCGTGGGACCTCAGGCACCAGGTGACTGATTGCAAGGAGCATCCTGGTGAAAGCCGGCGGGGCCACGGGCTGGGGAAGCAGGCGGGGAGGAAAAGATGGCCCGCCAAGCTAAACATCTGTTTGGAATATTAATAACTGTCAGATGGGAAGGGCCTGGGGGCTCAGTACGGTTTCATACCATCTGTCGGTAAACACACTTCGGAGTCGGGGGGCCTGGGATCAGCAGGCAAGGCGTTGGCTCGGAGTAAGGATGGAACAAGAAATGGAAACGGGGCCCCTGAGGCCCTCAGAGTGGGCAGGGAAGGGCAGCAGTGAGCTGAACTGCATCACATTCACGGAGCACCTACTATGCGTGGGAGCTGAGCTTGCATACCATAAAACTGCCACTTGGATCTGCTCGGCAACCAACCCTCTCTGTTCTGGTAACAGGAGCCCCTCTGGCGTAGCCCCTGTCCCATTTCCAGCCCATAGAATTTGCATGCAGCTGACGCAACCTCTGGCCCCACCGGGAGGAGTGTGACCCATCTCTGGTATTTCAGGATCATGATGATTGGGTCCAGGAGGGCCCAGCAAGGAGAATCGGCTCTGGGACTTTTGCTGGAACTACTCAAAAAGAAGACGGTTTTCCCACGATGGGTGATAAATTGGTAAGAAGCAAGTCTGGGGGTGCTGGTGTTCCTCTCTGCCCACGTAAAAAAAAAAAAAAAAGCAGCACCTCGGTGCTAAAGGCAGATTCTTGCTAACTGAGCGCCTGGATACAGCCACGCCTGAAATCACTTACACTTTGAATTACACGAGCTGGTCCTTTTTTTACTTGAACCACTTAAGGGTTTGTGTCCCTTGCCATCAAGAATACCGACTGATACAAACGGACCCTGGGAGAGGCCTCTTGTCAAAGTCCCAGCCAAGGGCCGCTGGGGATGGCCAGATACCCTTGAGAAGCCCATTCTTGCCTGGTGCCTGTGTTCAAAGAGCGAGGGTGGCCCTCCTCGGAGCCGGCTGGCCCCTATCTCTATTAGAGGGCACTGCCAGGGCTCCTGGCCTACTCAGGCTCAGTGCCTCTCAGGGCCAAGGCAGAAAACCAGTGTCCTTGGCCCGATCCCACCCTCCCCTGGGTTGGCGCTCTTTCCGCAGTGCTCCCTGACCACGGGAGCCCCATTATAAAGAGTCCAGATGCTTTAATATGCAAACGCCACAGCCTCTGGGGGCTTGGGGGGGCACCCCCTCCCTGACTGCCCAGGTTTCTTGGGCAGATCCCTCTGGCTGCCTCCCCATGGGCATCCCCAGAGCTCAATGGCCCCGTAGAAGAGCAAGACTCACCAGGACTGTCAGCACAGAGGTCCCCAGGGTGACGTTCTCGTACAAGCTGACGTTGTACAGTGGCTGGCTGAAGATGGGCCGATTGTCATTCTCGTTGATGAGGGCGATCTTCACCTTGGCATAGCCCACGTGGTCAGGCACACTCTCGTTGGCAAAGAGCTGGGTGTGCAGAGCAGAGGCCTGGGTAAGCTCTCACGTGCTCCTGGAGCCTTCTCCCCCACAAAGTCCCCCTGGGGCCTTTACAGGTCCTGACAGGGAGTTCCTGTCTGCGTCACTGCCCATCCCAGGTGTGTGTTGCTGTGAGTCCCCCCCCATCAGTGTCCAGAGGGCCAGGGTGGTCACTGATTCTGCTGGTGGCTGGGCTGGCAGGGGCTGGGGCAGTGAGGCTCACTATTGGCTTCTGAGGCTGTGATCATGCCTTATAAATTCTGCTCAATTTCCAGACATTTCCTTGTGCTCCTTGAAAATGGGGGGCTCAGCCCAGCGCCTGTCAGGGGCTCCGTGGGCTTCTCAGAGTCAGATACATAGGGCAAGAATGGGGAGAGGTGGAAGGGGAGTTTAAAGGGGATGGGATCACCCCTGCTTCCCCTGATAGCTTCTACCCAGCAAAGTTGGGGGGTCTTACATCAAAGTCGTAGCGGTCCACAGTCTCATAGTCCAGGGGGACGGCCACCCGGATGCGAATGTCCGCTTTCCCTTGGACAGAGGTGGGGGAGATGATGAAGTGCTGGGAGTTGTTCCCCACCAGGTACACCTCGAACATGCTGTTCAGGCCCTGGGGCAAAGTGAAGAAAAACCAGTCAGAGAGGGCTTGGGAGGCCAAGGTCAGGAGCCGAGTGGCTTTGCTGGAGGTGGATGAGGTGCCCGTGGTGGGGCTTGCCTGCCCCCCCCCCCCCAAAAGCGGTCTGGCCTCCTCTGGGTGACCCTGGCCTAGCTCTCTGACCCTGCCTCCTGTCCCTGTCTGGGCCTTCTGGAAGTCTCGACCAGGTCTTTTTGCCTTCGTTATCCCTTCAGATGCCTAAAATGTCCCCTCCAGGTGGTTTGGTTCATTTCATTTCCCACCTCCTGTCCCCTTCCTCAGTCCCAGTGACCCCAACTGGGAATGATCTGCAGTTGGAGGACCCAGCAGGGAGACAGAGGAAAGAGGGTCAGAAGGGAATGGAGGGGAGAGAAGCAAGTTGAGTGTCCCCAGTAGGCTTGGGCAGGAGAGGGACAGCAGGACACAACTTCTTCCCCTTCCTCCCCCTGAAACGTGTCAACCAGGGAGAACGCTGGCTTCCCTACACAGGGGATGGGATCACCCAAGCAGCTGAATGGCAAAGCGAACCCCTGTGTACCCCACACTGGCCAGCCAGTGGGGGCCTGGAAGACACTGGATCCCAGGTAGCTCAGAGCTCCCATGTCCTTCACAAGCTCTGCTTGTGGCCCGGCAGCTGAAGGCTCGTTCTGACACCTCGTGTGAGGTCTTCAGGCTACCCAAGACCCCAGATCAAAAGAGCCAGTGGTGGAGGTGGTAGAGGTGACTTACTGACTCCCCAGGGTCTGACCTGCTCAGAAATGGACTCAACCTCCATGGGGAGAAATTACCCCCAAATAAGCCTCCTTCAACCTAGGCAGATGCTCACGCTTTGCAGCCAACCGGTGGAGAGCGTCTCCCGATCCTTATTTCAGGTGCTCGGTGGCTTTCAGACCTGGGCTGTCAGCCCCAGGAGGAAATGTCCCCACTGCTCATCCTGTGTTACCCACCCCTGGCCTGGTGCCCCGCCCCGCCCCTCGGTGTACGTGTTTGTAACCAGAGGGATCTCTGGAAGGGATCTCTTCCAGAACCTGTTCCTGCCGTGAGGTGGGGCAGCCAGGCCACCAGGAAGTCTTTCCAGATGGGGATGGTCCTGGCTGGAAAGAATGCCCTCAGTGAAGCCTGACAGTTTGCAAAATTCTTACGGTCCTGGACCTGTCCCACAGGCGGTCAAACACATTTGTGGAGCAAAAGCATGTTAATATGTCCCCATCAGTCTCTATCTTCTTTTTCTATTTGCAATTATAAGTTGGCAAAACAACACTGCTAATCTTGGGGTACAGACAAGCAGCAGGGCGTCCAGAACCACCCAACCCCCCCACCCCTGCGTGC